ATTCGATGGCTGAGGATGAGTTCTAAGAGCTGGAAAGTGTCCCTTCCAGACAGCTGCGTCCTACGTGCATGTCCCCACTGAGAAGTGGAAGTGCTTCCAGTCTTGTGAATGTCTGGAGACCACTGCTTTCCATAAATCTGGGGTCCTGTGCCCAAGACTCTCAAAGACAGCACCCATGGTGAGGAAAGACCCTCAATGCTGGCTTATTGGAGAACAAAGGGGAAGTAGATAGCACTAAGGTTGTGTGTTTGTCCTGCAGGGAGGGCAGCAAGCCCTTAAAAAACTGTCAGATGGAAAAGAGCCTCGATGTGACTTATGTATACTCTTCCCTTTCTGCAAAGAACATCTCCCTTCACTCATCTGGACAATCCAAGCTGATATCCCATGGGGTGAACTCATTGAGCAGTGTCTCTCCTCCAGGAAACTCTCACTGATCCACTCTAGTCTTGGAGATAGTTAATCCCTTTCTTATGCCTCTTTTATTCCCAGAGAAAATGTATAAAAGTGCTAAGCACAAATGCACAATTATTTCTTGTTGCTGTTATGGTTGACACACAGCCCACATGGAAGATAGCCATGGGTACCTTAAGCCCCAGTAGTTCAGAAAGTGATCTTAGTTGGAACTAGGATTTTTGCACATATAGGCAAGTTAAAATGAGGTCATTATGGTGGGCCCAACTTCAGTATGACTGGTGTTCTTATTAAAAGGGGGGATTTGGAGGCAAAGAAAGACAATCACAGAAGATGCCAACGTGAAGATGAAGGTAGAGTTTGGGGAGCACCATGGTTATCTTCTCCAGGGTGAGTCCGAATGGCCAAGGTGTATGTAAAATTAACACAAACAATGCTATTGCCCTTGTTTAATCCAAACTTAATTGACCAACATACTTTATGTTTTCAAATAACATTTTAACATCAATTAGAGCTGATGAACATACCAGCAAAGACACAGCAAAGATAGCCTGCAATTGCATGAAGATCAGAGCGGCTGTGCTAGCTTCTCCTTCACAGTCCAGGGGCCCAACTCTGCAGACACCTGGTTTGCAGTTCTCCTGTTTGGAATGCTAATGCAATGGATTTCAGATGTGTAGTGCTTAGCTACTGAGGCCTAGGAAACCAGTACTCTTGCTTGGACATCTGTCCCCCAATTTCTGATTTCCTTCACCTCCTTTTAACTCCCTCCCCAACTTGAGTCAGTTCTGGAGGAGAGACAGTTCTCCTTCCTTATTTTCCATCATTCCCCCCCCCTCTCTCTCCCTCTCTCCCCTTCCCTGCCTCTCCCTGCTCCCATCTCTTGCTTCCTCTTTCCCTAGCCAGGCATAGGGCTAGTGCGTTCAGTGTTGCAGTGATTGATCAATTTCTATGTTCTCTTCTCTTTGACCATCACGGGGGCGGGGTAGACAAGCGAATAAAGAGAAAGGCTACTTTAAGAAAAACAAATTGGAACTGACAAGAAAAGAAGACCAGTACTGCAGCCACAAGCCTGAAGGTGTCCACACACAGGGAGACAGAAGGAAACTGCTTAGAGCTAGTGTTATGTGTATGGTGAGACACAGCTCTGTTGGCTGGAATTTTCCAGGGATTGACTTATTGATTGTTGTTTCGGAATTCCAGCAAGACAGAACCTGGGTGGCAATTCTTTCATGGAACTGTTGGTTTGTGTGGGGAAAAACAGGATGTGTGCTTGGAGCAGTGCTTGGTGCAGAGCGTCGATTGCTTGCCACCAAATAAGTCTTTGTCGGAGCTCAATCTGCTTCTGAATTTGTCTGGAATCCATTCTCAGCAGCACCATCTGTGTACGATTGTCCTGCCATCTGACTGTTTACCCGCTGTCCACCCCCCTCCTCTGGGCACTCCCTGTGTTAGAGTCCACCCATTGTCCAACCTGGATAAACTGAGGCTGAGGAGACTGGACAAGAGAGAGGGGAGTCCTTCCAGTGTGTTGGAATTCTTAGCCAAGAGATGTCTGGGAGGCTTCACCCAGCCTCACATAGAACCAGGGGAGAGAAGCATGTGGCCAAGCTAGAGCCAGATTGTGCCCCAGGCAATGTGATGGCTTCACAAATAATATTGATGCCTTTTGTTTGGAAACTCTTTGTGGAGCCTTCCCACTTCCCAACGAGCCATGTTAAACTCCCCCAAGCCACTTGGCCTTTCTGTCAGTCCTGCAGCCAACTGTGCAGGCAGATGAGGGGCTCTGAATGCTAATGAGGGGAGCGGCTGGCATTCCTGAGGCACCCCGGCTCTGGGAACCCCGCCTTTGTTGCTAAGGAGTGTTGGAGCTGTAGCTGAAAGACTCTCAGAGAGGACGGAGTGAAGAGAGGGTGGCAAGAAAGACAAGCATTTGTTTTCAGAGCTTCACAGTTCTCTGGCCAGTTCCAAAGCTGTCCAATTTCTGATCCAAGTTAGAATCAAACCTCATTATTGTTTCTCTTAATGATCTTGGGAGATTTCTTTTAAGAGTCAGCAAGCACTTAGCAAACTCTTTGGAAGGCATGATCTGTGCAGTTGGGTTTCAACTTACTGCCACAAGTCCTTTATCCCAGACCCTAGAAGGCCATGGTTTAGCTGGGAGAACTAGGATAGAGCAAAAAGCTACAGGGTCATCAAAATAAATATTTGATGAATATGATCCAAAATATTCATTCATTCCACAGACTTTTCTAGGTGCATACTTGGCAGTGAATCTGGGTTCTGTGCTGGGGACCAAAATCAGGAAAACCTTAGTCCTGCCTTGTTGTGACCTCTGGACTTGCCGGGAAAGAACACAGCACTGGAGAATCCTGCAGGTGATCTGTTAGCCTGGAAGTCAGGCACTGGACTTTAATCCTGGCTGTCAGTCACTGAGTGTAAGTCCTTCGGCAGTATGTTTATCACTGGAAACTTAGTTTCTCATCTGTACTATGAGCACTAGCCAGCTTCCTGGGTTCTGTGAGAAGTAGGTGACGGTGAGACAATGGACAGGTAGGAATGTGGAGAATATGGTCTCTGCCTTCCAGGATCACACAATCAGCTGTTGGATGGAAGGTGTCTGTACCCTGAACAGTCAATTAATGATTTGTCTATTGATGGGGTAAACAAAAATACTATATACGAATGAATTAGTAAGCTGGTTTCTTCTTGTGATGCATGTCTTTATGTTGGGATAACACCAGGCAATTTGCACCTATGTTTTTAATAGCAGCGCCCCCTACGGGGTAGGTGTTGAATTGCTGGGTCACCCATCAGGGAGTCCGCGGAGATGGACCATCCAGCCTCTTTCACATTGGCAGTGCTCTTTCCATCCTTAGACACGGAGGCTTTTGGGCAATTTGGGCGGGGACCAAGACTTGATACCAAGTCTTTCCAGGGCGTTCTGGAGATGAACCAGTTTACTGCACCAGACACTCTTTTAAAGAGGGTCTCCAGGAGAAAACCAGCCAAAAACAGATGCTGGACTTGCTTTGCCATTGTTTATGAGAAATTCATGATGATACTTCCATAGCTCCCAGCAAACCACCACCAATCTGAGAAAAAGAGCCAGAAAAAGTAGCAGATTTCCCATAAGCAAAGCATGGAGAACCACCAGCCCAGAGGTCATAATGATATTCTGAAGCACAGTGACTTCAGAACATTTTTCTGTTTGTGTCTGGTGGTGTGCCTCCTGGCCAGGCATCATTTAACTACCACTGCTCTATGGCTCCCTTGGAAGATAAGCTTTTCTCTTAAGTTGAATTTGGTTCTTTCAATATTTGCCCAGAGAAAAACTACTGAGCATTGACTTCATATGTACACATATTGCAAATGCATACACACACACCAACCAACCCTAAGTAAAGGTGAAACAACGGAGAACTCCAGAAAGGAGATTATCCAGGAGCAACTGTCATTTGCTCTAGACAGCACATGAGTCAACACTTGTTTCTACTGTGGTGTGGCCTGACTTCCCTGTGCCATTGCACACTGACCACTGCTTAAGCTCAGGCTCTGCTGCTCAGGCAGGCGCAGGGCAACGGGCTGCCCAGATGCCATTGCGTCATGTTCTTAACACTCCACAAACATGTATGGTCACTCCTATTGTAGCTCAAGGAGACTAAAACACTTGCCAAGACTATGAAGTGCCAAGCTTGGTTTTGGTTGGTTGTGCAGTCTATTGCCTTTTCTACTCTGTTGAAGTATTGGTGGCAGTGGAACGACTGTGGTTCCAAGACTGGCTGGGTTTGGTTTTGTTCATAAGATATGGGACAGGGCCCTCCCTGGTGGCACAATGGGTTAGGACGCAGTACTGCAAGCTGGTGGCAACCGCTTCAGTGCAAGTTTGATCCCCAACCCCGGAGGTGACCACATAGCTGGCAGACCTTTCCTGACCTGCCCGCTGCTCCCCTCAGCTGTGTACTTTGTCGATCTCATCTGCCTGTTCTGCTCTCCACTCTGTCTCTGGTGAAGCTTCTCACCACCCCTGCACCTATGGCCTGTACCTCAGCTCTGTATGAATAAATATTAAAAAAAAAATTGAAGATCAATGGGAACTGGTGGAATGTTTCACTTCACTTTCCTGCTAAAGGGTGCAGAGAAGCTACTTACTTCCACAAGACTTTATTCCAGGAATCCCTTCTCAAAACTTCTATCGAAGGCTCTGGGAAAATGTCCCCGGAGACAGGGCAATGTCATCTGGCTGTATAAGGAAATACTGAATTGTTCAGAAAAACTCACTTGGAATTCTGCTTCTACTGCTTAGAGTTAAGATAACAAATTGTTAATACTTTTGTTGGCTTTATAATGTGAAAATCCTCCCTAGAAGACTCACTAGAGAAAGGACTGACTTATTCATCCATCCAAAACAATGTGTTTAGGTCTGCTGTGTGCCAGGCATTTCTGGGAGCTGACAACATCTGCCTGTTTTCACTGTGTGGAAGAGTAGGATTTGCTAAAATGATCTGATCAGCAATATAGAATCACACACATCTACACACATATAAACAGATGCACGTATAGAATATAGACCCATGCAATGTCAGTAACAAGGTTTATTAGAACAGAAGGGGATTTTAAGTAATTGGGTTCCTGCCACCTCAGAAGTGAAGACCTGACCTCTCTGAGCTGCTCGTGAACGACTATCATGGCCAGAAACCAAGTGCAAGTCCAAAGTGTCTACAAGAGCTGCATCAGCCTCAACTCTGACAGTGCCTCCTCCCTTACACTCGGGCTGGGGAGAAACACGTGTCGGGGTAAAAAGGGAGATAAAGGAAACATCTGTTCCCACAATATGGGCTTGTTATCATAGCTCCTTTAAGTACCGAAGTGCTGGCTCCAAGAGCATGTTTTCTCCCGCACGGAATCTGCGCAAGGCCTGGTCGATTTTCCGAGGGCTCAGGGACAGGTTGTAAATGAGATTGTAGTTGTGAATGAGGCGTTTGGCTCGTTCCCTCTCCAGGACTCCTGTGATCGAGTTGGGATGGGAAGTTTTCAAAAGAAGGCGTGGGGGCAGGGGAGAGAGAGAAGAAAGCAATATATTAGCCTGAATGATTTCGGACGCAACACGAAATGCTAATATTTTGAAACTGTAAGCTTCATAAAATTAAGTGACAAAGTCAAAGCATCTGGCTATGCATCATGGTAGCACGAGGAATTTGATGGTGATTTTGAAGAGAAGAGATGGGTCCAATAAAACCCACAGAGAGACTCTAAAGCAATTTAAGCTTGGTGTTTGTAGCTGTAAAACTTTAAAGGCCAATTTTTGAAACAGGTGGGGTGCCTGCTAAAAACAATTTCTAATTGTTCTGGTTTATTTTTACCTTACTGATGTCTCTGAACACGTTCTTAAACAAGCAGGATTTAAACAGCTCCTTTTTACATGCTTCTGGAAATGCATTTGCTGTGACTCCCTCTGGCTTTCAGTGTGAGCCCAAGTAAATGATCTAACTTGTCATGGAACAGAGTCTAAGTCTGTATCATAAAGATGGCAGTAGATGCTGGTGCCCACATGTTCAATTTACCAGTGCCAACACCAATGTCTTTGTGCTCTCCTGTTATTGTAGGTTGTGATGGTTGCAGAGAGGAGTTTAAAGTGTTAACCATGGCACCACCAAAGTTCAATAACCCATTCTTCAGTCCCTAATTGCAAGCCTACATATGTCAGACACTGTGCTTGGGAGAACAGGGGTTTAGAAAAGTGGTCTGTTACTTCAGAAGCTCCCCCGGCCAGCTAGGGCAGTAAGATGCAGGAAATTAACTAAAGTGCACCCAGCCATAATGATGGACTGTTAGATATAAAACTTAACATGTTTCAGGCATCACTCCAAGCACTTTACCAGTATTAACTCATGTAATCTTTACAACACTCCATTTTACTGAGGGAGAAATTGAGGCAATAGATGGCTCGTCACTTGCCCAAGGTTTCTCAAGTGTATGCACTGAACCACTACATTCAGTTACTGAACAAGGGGGAGATTTTAAATGTAGGACTCACTGCTCCCTAAATATGTTCCTTTGAATTGTGATGGTCTACACCACATATATCAACGAAAAGCTTTTAAAAATCACTCATTGGGATGAGGGGCCCAAAGCTTGCATCTTGCCCCGCTAATCTCCTATACTTGTGAGAACTGTATTAATGACTGTGAAATTCTTTTTCAAGGATTCCAGAGTTGATCCCCTGGTCACTCGGTAGCAAGCCATTACCAATCCATTAGCTGGCTGCTTGGACACTTGTCTCTGCTCAGGCTACCAAGCACTGGTCATGTTTTAAAGTATGATGCCTGATGAACATGTTTCCTTCTGATTTACTCCCAAATGGGTGTTTTAAACAGTGGGTTACACAGGGGTGAGGTCCTAATGTAACTTCTTCCATTCGGTTTATTCTGTCCCGTCCCATCCTGTCCCTCTTAGTTTACTATTTAAGTTTGTTATTGCTCATGTCTTCTATCAGGATATTGGTTCTTTACTGCACAGAAGTCTGTCTCTGAGTAGGTTAAATTGTATCTCTTCAGTTCACTGAATTCAGTAAAGGTTGTTGGTGTGACTATATTTGATTCCTCAGGACATTTTCTCCTATTCTACCTCTGGAAATAGAAATCATAAGCTTTGGATAAAATGAGGAATTTACTTTAAAGTTTTGAGACTCAGTTTCCTCAACTTTTAAGCAGGTACAATTAAATTGTATAACAATCAAGAAAATAATAAACAATTAGCATAGTGCCCCAATCTAGTAAGCACTCATTAATATAGGTATTATGATCTAGTATTATCATAGTTTTACAATACTTTATATTATTTAAGATATAATAATGCATTTTAATAAGAAATTGTTAAATATGTTAAATATTTAGTTTCTATGTTAATTAAAAATTAAAAGTAATGCCAGAAATTAATTAAGGTGAAAGGATAAGGAATGACTATGAGTACTTGTTATGTTATGATTTCTAATGAAAGAAGGGTGGTTGAGATAAATGTTTGGGTAAATGGTAGATTTGGAATTGTCTCAGTGAACTAGAAAATATTTTAAAGTTCAGGGAAGCAGATAGTAAGTATGTAGTGGCCATTGTCTGCCATCTTACAAACAAACATTGCCATTGGAAGGGATTCCTAGTATCAAACAAAAGTCTACCACCCTGAAATTTGTATGTCTCATTTACTGTCACTAGGAGACACTGGGGTAGCTGCGGAAAATAACTCTGACAATCCTTCTTAGTGTTGTAAAGTCTGTCCTTATTTAACAGAGCCAAAATGAAATAAATTAAAGAACTTCTTTAATATATATTTCATTTTGCAGTGTGCAAAAGCCTTGAAAATCTTTTTTGTCCTTTCTCAAATCTAGGAGGTATGTTTTATTGTCAGTCCTATTTTACAGATGAGAAAACAGACTTGTAGAATGTAAGTGACTAGCTTTCAGTATTTAGTAGTTGTGAAAGCTTGGCCTTCAATCTATGTCTTCTGGTAAAGAACACAACAGTAACAAAGCAACAGGCAAAATCTCATACTCTTTCTGCTACGTCATTAGGCAATGGCAAAATGCAGTGTAGGGCATTGGGAAGTCCAATAGACCAGGGTTTCCAATAGCTGTTACTTTATCACTTTGAACTTGGCTTTTTCCTCTGTAAATAAGGACAGCAATCCCTTGAGCATGTAGTTGATGTGAGCAGTTAGTGATGCAGTGTATGTAAGGTCCAGACCCTTGCAGAGAATGTCCTTGAAGGCTCTCATGGCCTCTGCCTCCCTGAGCTCTAAAATATTTTCTAGTTCACTGGGAAAATTCCAAATCTACCATTTACCCAAACATTTATCTCAACCACCCTTCTTTCTTTAGAAATCATGACAAGTACTCATAGTCATTCCTTATTCTTTCTCCTTAAGATATTTCTTGACAGTCCCCATTAGAAAATAAGCACAGAGTAGGTTCCCAGAAATGCTAATTTGATGATGGATGGTCTGCCTTCAGCCTGGATGAAGAACACCCTGGCCTACATATTTCCTTGCACATAATAAAGAACAGTGATTCATCAATGGGCAAAGTAGGTATCATCTGCTTAGTGTCTAGAAGAAGGCTGTGGTGGTCTGCTAAATACTGTGGTTAATAAACCACCAAAATGACCTCAGTTAATCCTCTTTCCTCATTAAAGATTGTTACAGATGTCCCAAGATCTGGCTGACACATTCCTTGGCTGTTAAGGAACTAATGAATTTCATAGAAACAGAGAAAACAAGCATAAATAGTGAAGAGGCCATGAGAAAGGCATTCCAAATCTGCAAAAATCTGCCTCCAAAATCAACAAAACTCCACTTTTCCTCAGAACAGTTCAGGAGTATGAGAAAGGTCCCAGTCTGTGGCGAGTCTCTTAGCAACTAAGTTTACGATCCCTCATCCATCACTACAATTCGGCATTTATTTTTGGGGGAATGTCTTTTCTCTCTCTTCAGTTTCTTATTTTTTGTTTATAATCCTACCACCACTCTCAGTGAATGATTAGACTCATGAATATTTCACAGCCTTTTCATTTTCTATTCTTTAGTATCTTTCCTAGTTTGTTCATCTCAGCTTCCATTTTGTTCTCTAAATCTGGTGGACACAGAGTAGAGAGTAAAGCCTCAGGTTCAGAATAGGGTCTTAACTTCACCATCCAATCCAACTCCCAGTCTTGTCTTTCTTATTTTCTTCCCCATCACATTCATTCCCACCTTCTAACCTTTGTAGAGATGGTTTCGAATTTGGGGTGACCTATCCAACTATCCAAAGTCTACCTTTCCTCAAGGGTCAGCTCAAGCTTTCTTTCCCATGGAGCCCATTCTGAGCTCCCCATTTCACATATTTCTTTTTATTGGTGTTGACTGACCATCAGTCTCTTTATCTTACCTAAAAACACCATGAGGATAGCGAACAAGTCTCATCCTATCTGGCTTACCTCCTGATACATCGCTAGCACATTGTGGTGCTCAGAACAGACATTTAATAAGTGACTTCCCAATTCTGCTTGATGAATTCTTCATAGAAACTTTTCACTTTCTATTTTTTTTGGTGCAATTATTAAAAATTTGGTTATTTTATGATAGTTATACTTGATATAGTTTAGAATTAAGTTGCTTTGGAAATGAAGGAAAAAATAAAACCAGAAACAGAGAATATAAAGACAAACATTGCTATTGTTATATTATTACTGTTAGAGTATTACTGCTAAAGTCTATATTAAACATGTTAAAATTAGCTATTTTTTTTAAGCTTTGAGATAAAATGGACATATAACATTGTGTAGGGTAAAGGTTTATAATATGATGATTTGCTATACCTAAATGGCATAATGTTTACTAAAATAAGGTTAACATAGATTTTATTTCACACAATTATTTTGTTGTTATGTGAGAACATTAAAGCTTTACTCTTATTGCAACTTTTGAATATGTAATATGATACTGATAATTCAAGTCACCATGTCCTATATTATATCTTTAGAATTTATTTATCCTATAATTGAGAGCTTGTGCCCTTTAACTAATATAGTCTTCTTCCCCCTGGCAACCACATTCTACTCAGTATGAGTGTTATGTTTTCAAGCTTCCACATATAATACACTAAACTCTTCACGAACCATAGCATGTGGTTCCCATGCTTTTGTATTTTTCTATTCTTCAGATCCCTGAAGAATAGAAAATTCTTTTTCACATGGACAAAATCCCTTTTCTTGTTTTATCATACCCCTGACTTGTTCAGAAGCTCTCAGTGGTATTCACCATCTTTGAATTAATTTCAAGTTGTCTGATCTGGCATTTAAGAACTTTCAAGCTCTAGCCTCACACAATATGTCTACCTTTATAATTTAATATTTTTAATAACCCTATGTCCAAGCAGACTACAATTATTATATTAAGTTTGACATTGGACGTATTGCTTGGCCAACTTCCACCTTTGCCAGAAGGGCCTTCTATGTTATACCTTTGTATACAAAGGTAGGATATACTGAGTAAATAACTAGCAAAGAGACCAGGCGATTGGACAGAGATTAGTTTTTGCCTTGGTAAGAAGTTCAGATTTCAGCCAGTGAGTTGGCATGCTAACCATCAGCAGAATTGCAAGGTTGGACCATGGGTTAGACTTAAGTGATAGAGAAGAGGACTGGAGTCACAGAGAAACTGTAGGCAACCTGGCTGGGGATTCACGTATGATTTGAGTTTGTATTTCCTTATTATGCTCAGCATAGTACAAAACACATGGTCTACAGACAAATTGCATTTGTTAAATAAATGAAAGAAGAGGTATCCATTTTTGGACTAGATACAAATAGAAGGTTCTATCAACTTTAAGCTCTGTACTTCACCTGTATGGCTGAGATCACACAGGTAGAGGGCATTTTCTAGCTTCCGGAACCTGTCGATCCATGTTTCACATTCTTCAGATTCATTCTTCATCACTGGTGTTGCAAAGGGCTGAGAGACTGGCCTGATCTTCAGAGAGTTCAAAGGTTCTTTCTGTGTTGAAGTATCAGCAGGAGGGCTTTCTGGCTCCAGCAGCTCTTCTGATGTTTTCTATTGCAGTGACACAAACCTCTTACTGGCAACACCTTCAACACTCAGAGCTTCTCCAGTCCCTTAGCCAAAGACGAGGCCACACAACTAGCAAAATTTATTGATGGTCTGGTTTAGTAGGGAGGATGAGTTTCAATCCTCAGTGCCATAAGATTGCATCTGCCAAGTCTTACAGGACATAAACTATTATGTTAATTTTTTTTTTAAAGAGAAAAGTGAAATCATGTTTTTTGTTCAGTTTGCTATTTTGATTTGCATAAAACAAAGGTTTTTGAAATTGGCTGACTTTTCATGATGTGCTACTATTTTACACAAGTGAAATCCATAGAGGATGATCTTTGCACAAGTACCTATATGGTCTTATATTGTACCAGTGTCTTGTTGGGAAATCCTTTGAATCATGAATGTGATGTTTTTGACAGAGTGACTGAAAGAATAATGATATTATCTCAGGCTCATGGGCTTTCATAGGGATCAGAAAGCCAGGTAGCACCTCTCATTTTGCCTCTCTGGTTCATTTAACAAAAGACATTGTAGCCCAGTAAGTGATTTACTAAGACCAAACAATAAGTGGGAGACAGAAAACTAGACCCACACCATGAAGGTTAATTCTAGCTCATAACTCCGTGTTCAGTACAAAAATAAAAATATTTTAGAACAAATAGATAAATGAATTCCAGCAGTGCGATGTAAGACATTCTGTCACCTACCAAGTCAAGAGAGGACATGTATTGTTTGTTCTACCCAACTTCACTTTTCCAGGAATTGTCATGCCTGATGAGTCACATGGCTATAGAGGGAACATCGCGTTCTAAATGCATAGTGTAGGACTGGGCATCTGGTGCAAAAAAAATAGGCCCAAAATCCATTATCCAGGAATTCTGGAAATATATGTGAGAGAAAACGACTAAGGTAGGCAAATGGAGATCAGTTTATGTGATTCTGTGTGAGAAGTTAAAGCTCTAGCATGTGGTGTTTTACTCTCTGATTCAAAAATGAGAAAAAGCTACTCTGAAGAGACAGGAAG